TGTGTGTGTGTGTGTGTGTGTGTGTGTGTGTGTGTGTGTGTGTGTGTATCTGGTAAGTGTTCTTTCCAATATCCCCCATAGTCATTGCATACAGTAAGTATTCAATAAAAGTTGGTTATTCATTATATTTCCCAAGTAGTCAGTTTTATATTCCCTATTTTTTATTTTAAAAGTGGATGAATGGTACATTTTCTATTTCTTCAAAAAAAGATTCTAAATTAAATTTGGGGCAGTCATGTGGCTCAGTACATAAAATGTATGACCTGGAATCACAAAGACTCATCTTCCTGAGTTTCAATCTGGCCTAAGATACTTACTAGCTCTGTGACCCAGATCAAATCACTTCACTCTGTTTGCCTCGGTTTCCTCATCTGTAAAAATGAGCTGAAGAAGGGAATGGCAAACCACTCCAGTATCTTTGCCAAGAAAACCCCAAATGGGGTCACAAAGAGTTGGACACAACTGAAGCGACTGAACAACAACAAAGTTAATTTTTTTAAAAACTCACATAGCTGTCAGTTGATTCCTCCGCCTTCCCCCGACTCCTCCATGGGTCACGGGACCTTTACCCCCTCTGTAATCAATATGGGATAACCCAGGATCAGGTGCCGTGCTATGCCCATCTTCTCCCTGTATTTGCCTATTCTATGTTTCTCTCCACCTTCTAGGCCTGCCAGCATACATGAAATCCCTACGCTGGGCTCTGGCCGTCCTGGCAGTGTTGCTGGCCGTGGCTGTGGTCACCATCGTGGCCCTGGCCTCTCGAGTAGGTAATGCATCTCCTTTACGTTTCCCTCTCCATTCCTTCAGCACCTTCTACTTTCCTTCTCCCTGTTCCTCCACCCTTTCAGTATCCCCTTCCCAACTCCTCCTCCCTCCATCCTCCATCCCTTCAGCCCCACTCCCACCCTCCATCACTCTCGACCAGAATTCCCCTCATATTCTTCCAGATTTGCCCCAGCAGCCAACCTGATTATGTTGTCCCTGTGTCCACAGGAGCAAAGTGCCGACCTTGTCCAGAAGGCTGGATATGGTCAGAAGAACACTGTTACTATCACTCCTTGGAGGCTCAGAGCTGGGAAGACAGCAAGGCTTTCTGCTCAGTCCACCAGGCATCTCTCCCAGTATTGAGCCACGCACAGGTGAGAGGGAGGGAGCTTGGGACAAGGCAGCAATAAAATTGGGACCTATCTGGAGGCACCCCCTCTGTATGCAGCCCTCTATTGAACAGGTTTATGGGGAGAAGTGGCTCCCCACTCTCATTGAAATTCTAATCAGGGTGAGGAGACAGATCACACAGCTAGCAAATGGTGCAAAAACGATGGTGAGCTTCCACCCATATGACAGAGCTCTTGCCTTAATTACTCCCAGTTGTCAGGCAAGTACTAAAAACTAGCATGCATGATGATGATGATAATAATATTCATTTATTTGACATTACGTGCCAGGCACTGTGCTAATTGCTTTACAATTATTATTTCATTTTATCCTCACAACAACCATAGGCAGTAGAGGTTATTATTACCCCCATTTCACAGATGAGGAAACTGAGGCAAACAGAGATTAGGTGACTTGATCAGGATGACACAGCTAGTAAGTGTCTGAGGCCACATCTTCCTGACTCCAGACCCATATCTCTATCCACTGCACTACTCAGGACTGATGGTAAGGTATCTCCTTTAATGTCATTTCTGCTGATAAAACCACATCCATTTCTGATGTTGAACTGTTCGACAATACAAAGGGCTCATGGTTGGAACTTTCTTTCCCTGATCTTCTGTAACTTTGTGGCACTTTGATTTGCCTGGCCCAAGTTGCTGAATTTGAACTCAGATCTTCCCGACTCCAACCCTTGTGTTCTATCTAGTGCCTGTGGTTGTGAAAATGCCAACTGATATCAGTGGAAGTATCTTAAATGATTGCAAGATAGGGATGGGACTCCTGAGAATAGATGGGTTACTCTACCACCTCTGCCCCTCTGGTGCAGTAAGGTAGGGCTTTTCTCCCATTGAAAATGCAGAAAAGAAGGTTTCAAAATCTGTGCATCCAAACGCTAGATAGGAATTAATCTTTTTTTTTTTTTGGTGAGGCAATCAGGTTAAGTGACTTGCCCAGGGGTCACACAGCTAGTAAGTGTCAAGTGTCTGAGGTCAGATTTGAACTCAGGTCCTCCTGACTCCAGGTCCAGTGCTCTATCCACTGTACCACCTAGCTGTCCCCCTCCCTTTTTTTTTTTAATCAAGAAGATTGTGCTATGTATTCCTGTCCTCTACCCAAAAAGAGTAGTACTTGAAAATGAACTATACTTTTACTTCTCTGGATTTGGGTAAACACCACAGTTGCATTTTTTACAGCTATAGACAGCCTAAATAAAGCAACCTCATTCCTCAATTGTTGGGAGTTGGGGGAGGCGGACGCCAGCACCTGAGGAATCAATCTTTCTGTGCAATTCTAAAGTCCCTTGAGATGAAATTCTAGGCAGGGATCTGGGCGAGGTTGCTTTTGTTCCTTGGAGAATTTGAATTCACACTCGTGTTAAATGTATGACTTAGGAGGATAGAGTCTTAGCATTGGAAGGGACCTGGTCCCACTTCTTGTCTCCTGCAGGCATCTCCGCTACCCCATCCCTCCCAGGTGTGCCACCAAGCTCTGTTTCAAGATTTCCAGTGATAGGGAAACCGCACCTGACAAACCAGCCCATCCCATTTTTAGACAGTTTTAATTGTTAGAAAGCTTTCCTATTGAGTTTCTGAAATCTGCCTCCTGCTAACTTTCAGCCGCCAGTCTAATTTTGATTTTTGACATTTACTTTCTCTTGTACCAGGATTTTTAACCTTTTTTTTTTTGTATAAATCCTGGACCCTGCGGGGAGTCTGAAGCCCGTGGAGCCTTTCTAAAAATAATATTTTAATTGTATAAAATCAAATACACAGGATTTCAGAGGAAACCAATTATATTGAAATACATTTATCAAAACATATTTTTAAAATTTTATAGACCCCACACTAAGATCTCCTACATCTTTCACCTGATAGCTCTTCAAAGGGTAGGCAATAGCTTTTGTATCTTATTATTAGACTTTTATTCTCTGTGCTAAACATTCCTACAACCCTTCCTTATTGGGCCTACTTTCAAGACACTACCCCCCACCCTGTCCTGTTTGCCCTCCTGTGCATGTACTCTGTATCCCCCTTAAATTTCAGTACCCAGAGCTGATTTGAGTATGGGAGTGCCCACGTAGCACACAGCAGGACTGTTTCCTCTCAGAACAAACAGTAACAGTTCAATAGCACTGTACTGTTTTACATACTACCTTAGATACCCTATCTCATTTAATGGTTGTTTGTATAAACCCAACTGTACCGATGAGGGAACTTAAACTCAGATATGTGAAATGACTTTGCCAAGGTCGCAAGCCAGGATTTGTAACCAAGTGCTCTGACTCCAAATCCAGTGCTCTTTCCACTAAGGTAGGTTAAGAAATCATTTGATATTTATTTTGGCAGCCACATCACACTGTTGACTCATTGAGCTCCCAGTCAACTAAAATCTCTAAATTTTTTTTTACATAAACTGCTGTTAAAATATGTCTTTCCTAATCGTGAACTTGTGGAGTAGATTTTTTTTTAACCAAAGCATATTAGAGTAAATTCTATTAAGCCTCATCTTTTTACTTTTAGTCTATTGTTTCAGCCTATGGAGATTTTTTAATCTAGGATTTATCCTATTATCATTTTTCAATTTTTTCAGTCATTTTCAGTCATGCCCAATTCTTTATGACCCCATTAGAGGTTTTCTTGGCAAAGATACTGGAGTGGTTTGCCATTTCCTTCTCCAGCTCATTTGACAGAGGAAGAAACTGAGGCAAACAGGTTTAAATGATTTGCCAAAGGTCACAGGGCTAGTAAGTGTCCGAGGCCACATTTGAACTCAGGAAGATGAGTCTTCCTGACTCCAGGTCCATTCTATCCACTGTGCTGGAGCCAGCTCTTAACAGCTAGCTGATTCTTAAATTTTTAGTGTGAGCATTTACACTTTGGAAACTGGCAAATGCTGCAGATTAGAGCTTGACTTATTGTTTTATTGATTTCTAGACTTGAGAAAGTGAAGGAAAAAATGTTAATAAGTGAAGATTAAACTTTAAAGTGTGTTCTGCCTTTTTTTTGTTTCAAAGTGCTGGTTATTAAACCACCACCATATCAGCATACCACTGTATACAAAGCATTACTATGTTTCTTGCCCTCAAAGAGCTTTCAATCTAGTAGCAGATGAAGATAATACAAATTAGAGTATGATAAATTCATACCCCTCCCATCTTTGTATTATTTTGTAAGCCTGTGTCTTTTGCTTTTTGGACAACAGTGTTCCAAGGTCTCCTCTGATTTTAAAAGAAGCTGCGAAGTCTTGTATGATCCTAACTGTAGCTCCTTGGTTGCTGAACTGCTTCTTTCAGTGTGCTTGCAGGACTTTTTCTTTGATGTGGAAGCTCTGGATTAGGGCTGTAACGTTCCTGGGACTACTCCTTTTGGGGTTCCTTCCAGGAATCAGATTCTTTATTTACTTTGCTACATGGTTCTAATAGATCTGGGGAGTTTTCATTTATGATTTCTTGAAATATACTATCCAGGTTTCTCTTTTTCCTTAAATCATGCTTTTAGGGGCAGCTAGGTGGCAAAGTGGATAGAGCACTAGCCCTGGAGTCAGGAGACCTGAGTTCAAATCTGGCCTCAGACACATAACACTTACTAGCTGTATGACTATGGGCAAGTCACTTAATCCCAATTGCCTCGCCAAAAAATAAAATAAAATAAAATCATGCTTTTAAAGGAGTCTAATGATTATTAAAAATTATGCTCTTTGAATTGTTTTCCTAGTCAGTTGTTTTTTTTTATATCAGATCTTATATTTTCTTCTATTTTTTCCCAATATTTTGACTTTGTTCTAATATTTCTTGCTGTTACATAAAGTCACTTATTTCTGTTCTCTGGGAGTCCATTTCTTGGCTAAGGCTTGCCTCTTCCAAGCTGCTTATTCTCCCTCCAGTGCTTTCTTCCAGAGATTTTATTTTGCTTAATTTCTCCTAGACACATAATCTTTGTAGAAATCCATTTTCTTCCTTTTGAATTTCTTCCTGCAGTTATGGAGTTACTTGCTCCTTTTTTGGTGGGGTGGGGGAGAGTGGGAATCTCTAGATTTGCAATAATTTTTATAGCTCTTAGTGTTTTCTATGATTTATTCAGCTCTCCAGCCTTACTTCCTGAATTAAGACTTTGTGCCGGGGCCAGGCTCAGTGCCCTGCTGTATTTTTGGGTAGTACGGTGGTTGACCTTTCTTGATCTTGGTCCTGGGTCTTCCTACTAGCCTCCATTTCCTGGGATTTATACCCTTCCCCCTGGATCTTTGAAGTTCAGAATAAGGAATCTTCAGGGCCCTCCATGGCATCTCCAGACAGAGTGCTAGGGACCTCAGAGCCTCTGGACCTGGGATTTCTGGTCTGAGGGCTGCAGCTGGTCTCTGCTGGCCATTGCTTCTCAGAAGCAAGGTCCCCAACCTAGGGGCTTTCTAACTACAATGGGGCTTTCAAAACTGAACTCTCTGCTGTTGCTAACACAGAGCCTTACAGGCTGCAGGTGTGTATCTCACTCATTTTGCTGGAGGAGACCCTTTGCTGAATACCCACCTGCCTGTGGGTTTCTGGCTGGCATTTGATTGTTTGTTTGTTTTTTGGTGAGGCAATCAGGGTTAAGTGACTTGCCTAAGGTCACACAGCTAGCAAGTACCATGTGTTTGAGGCTGGATTTGAACTCAGGTCCTCCTAACTCCAGGGACATTGCTCTATCCACTACGCCACCTAGCTGCCCCCCAGGCTGGCATTTGAAGTGAAAGATGTCACTATAGTTATTGGGATTCTTGGTCAAGGTTTTGTTGGAGTAGGTATGTGGGAGTTGGGTGGCCAGCCTGCCATTTAGGCAGCCATCTTGTCTGGTAGTACTTGTGTGTCATCTGAAAATTGATAAAGTATTTATTGCCTATCTTCATCCAAGTGGTTTATGAAAACATGGAACTGTACAGGCCTAAAAGCAGAGAGATTACATATATGCATGCTTACTAACCTAGAACCAATGAGACATTCCAGGCTGAT